GACAATTAAACAAGTGCAGCGTGTCGTGCGGGCCTGTATCGCACGCTGGGCAGGCGTTCCGCACATCCTCATCAATTCGTGTCCAATACGAATTGAGACGGCTACACCATCCTGAACGTAGTTGGGCCAAAACTACCCTGGTTTGCCTAGGCAGCCGACGTTCTTCAGCTGCAATGGATGGGGGTGGACTCCGAGTATGGCATTCATACTGTAATTATTAACTACCTCTGCGACTGCATCAGTATGAATGCTATTCAGACCCGCTTGATAGGCTTCATGATCTAGAGGCTCTCTCTTATATCGCTGGACCTTTCTCTCTAGATCGTGCAGGTCCTTCCTGACACGCCTGGGTGGAGGAGTTCTATCCACCATATGGTGGTTAGGGTGACTCCCGCGATAACACCCAAGCAGGTACTGCAACGAAAGCATATGATTATGCTGACGTAAGGGAAGAACCTTCGTCTCCTCATGTAAGTGGTCCACAGGCGTCATGAGGAGGCACCCTGTTGCAGTTCTCAGGGCGGCATTCTGGCAGGTCTGAATACATTTCCACTGCGTTGCACTTGTATTCACCGACCACACTGGAGCCGCATAGCTAACCACAGACCGACCTATCGCTTTATAAGAGGTCAACAAGGTTTCCTTATCCGCACCCCAAGTGCTGCCGGCTAACGCCTTGAGGACCTTGTTCCTACTTTTCATTTTATCGCAAATAGCTGTGGCTTGCGCGGAAGACTTGAACATGCTATCGAATGTGACCCCAAGAATTTTGGGGTAGTTGGTGGTCGGAATTATATGCCCCTCGACCTGCACATTCAGCTGTGTTCTCATCTCCGCAGTCCATGTGGTAAATAGTGTGGCCGTCGATTTAGTGGCGGATATTTTCATATTCCTCGCGTGGAAGAAGGCGGCAAGCTCCGCAAGATAGTTATTCACCCTGACACATATGTCATCAACTACAGGACCCGACGCCACGATCGTACAATCATCCGCATAAGTTACGATCTCGATGCCGTCTGGAGGGCGCGGAATTCCGGAAAGGTAGAGGTTAAACAGTTCCGGAGATATGACCCCACCTTGGGGAACTCCCTGTTTCACTCTACGAGGAACTTCTTATTCCGGAATTCCACGTAGGATTGGCGTCCACACATATAGTTGACTATCCAACGTTTCAAACTTGGCCGGAGGGTAGTGTTCTCAACGTCCTCGAACAGCGTGGCATGGTTGACCGTATCAAAGGCCTTTGATAGGTCGAGAGCCACCGCTACTGTTCTGTAGCACGGCCTGTTCTGGTTGAGTCCTCGACTGATATGTGTGGATATGGCGAGCAATGCTGTTGTAGTGCTATGTAGTGGACGGAAACCGTGTTGATGGTTAGCAACTGAATAGCTTCCTCTGATACTGGGGAGGAGTAAGGCCTCGAGAGTCTTTGCTACTGGCGACAAAAGCGAAATTGGCCTGTATGATTCGCCTTTGCTGGCATCCTTGACAGGCTTCAGTAGCGGGACCACCCTGCCCATTTTCCAGGCTTCGGGAACTATGTGGGTGGCTAACGACTTTGGTTAAATACTCAACTCTCGGCGTATCCAGTTGCTTCAACATTACCATTGATATTCCGTCCGGGCCCAACGCTTTAGATGACTTTGCGTTTCGGATGACATTCGCAACATCACCCATCGTAAACTGTGGAGGTACATCCTCGGCGGGAAGAGCTCTTATACGACGTAGTACTCTTCGCCTCGTCCTATCACTCTCGGGGTGCTCGACAAATTGGCGGTTAAAACAGCCAGCGCACCTCTTCGGATCAGTCACAGTTACGTCGTTAAATGTGACTGCTGTCCTATCATCCTTTTTTCGAGAGTGACTTTACCGTTACCCACAGTTTACTCAAATCGGTTCCGATGTTGCAACACTTCAGATAGTCTAGCCACTTTTTCCGCTTATGCTCCTGTACCAACCGGTTGACTTCCACTGTCAGTTCACTGACTCTGGGATCAGTAGGGTCGGAGCTCATCACGCTCATTCGCTAATCCCGCTGCCTCTGCTGGGAAATTTGGTCTTACTTCGGGTATTCGACCAGCAGGTATATAGCGAGCGGCTGCAGCTTTGATGATGTCCCGGAAAATACTTTCAGCTACCCGAACATCAGAAGGATTGGGCAGTCAAGAGAAATGACGGGTTGCCAAGTCACGTCATTTATCAGACCGGGTGACACGATGGATAAATCTGGCGAACTGTGACACTCTCCTCTTATTCGGGTGGGGGCATCCTCGTTTACCGTGCAAAATGTGGAGCAGTCAATCTGCTCTGCCAACGCTGATCCCCTCTGGTCATTACCTAGGACGGAATGCCACAACTCATGGTGGGCATTGAAGTCCCCTAGTACCAGGCGGTTATTGCCTTCCAAAAGTGGGCTTATATTAGGCAAGTAACGCGGTTCACAACTATTAACCGGCGGGATATACACATTAAGCACCTCTACCTCGGCAGTACCACACTTGACTGCTACCCCCATACACTCTATGTACGGGTCACTAGAGACTAGCTCAAGCGAGATAGGTCTGTATTGAACAGAATGGTGTATCAGGAACGCTAATCCCCCACCTCCACTTCTGGTGCGATCTTTCCTCAATACGTTGTAACCATTGCAACGTTGTAAGCTACAATTTTCATTGAGCTTGGTTTCCTGCACCGCTGCGATCTTAATATTCCTCCGATTCATAAAATCCACTATCTCATCAATTTTACCTCGAAGTCCGTTGCAATTGAACTGCAAGAACGATGCATTGTCCGGAATTGGAACAGCAACATGTGGCGTTAAGTGCTGCGGTAAAGGTTGCTGTTCTGGAGACTGCGGGGGAGTTCCATACTCCGACGACGACTCGGAAGTTGACGACGAGGTCGTGGACTCACTGGGGACTACGTTGGTGCAGCACGAAGCAACATAGTCCCTATCGCTATACTCTCGCAACCGGGTTAAACCGGAACAATTTCTAAAATGCACCCATCCTCTGCATCCATACATCGCACCGAGACTGATCTATGGTGGATGGTGTTTTGGCAAACCGTACAGAACCATGGTCCGGGGTTTTCCTCAAGCCCGGCACGGACCAAAAGAATCCGGAGCAAGCATTCCGGGATGTGCTGCTCCCAAAACAGAAAAATAAACAAACACGAACATGTATACACTGGGTTGGCAGCCGCTGGCCGAAACTGGAGTGTTGTTGTTTCGGGTCAATCCGGTGTCGTAGAACCCGCTGCCGTGGGATTGAACGCCTTCTTTTATTTTAATTGGTACCACAACAGTAATGTTCAAACGTTATCAGACATTAGGGGAGTGAGTAACACACTTTCAAATGCTTGCGGGGCTGCTACTGCGTAGCCCTGTCGACGGTCGCTGAACCTAACACTCCACGCACCACAGTGTCTTATATTCCTCAGATAGAATAAAGTCTAAACCAAGGTAGACCACAAAAGTTGCTTTGTTGTAGCAATTTGCCGATGCGGTTACCTGTTAGATCTACCTTGGTCTAAACTATCGCTGTTTATCCGATGAAGGTCACGAAAAGGGATCTGCACACGCGACGCCTTCTTTTATTTTCCTTGGTGCCACAAGTGAAGTTTTGTCATGGTAATGTTCAAACTATCAGACATTTATCACACAAGAAGCGTCGAATAAGAAACTTATATGCATTTCTTATATAAAAGGAATTCATACAAGAAAAACACGCATACGAAAAAAATCGATTTTAAATGAATGTCTTACATGCGTGGTCTATTGTACAATATAGTACTGTATTGCAGGTTTTGAAACAAAATTGTTCCAAACAAGAAATAGATCATCTACGTAAAATATTAGGTTTATTATACCCCTGGTAATATTGCTTACTTTGACGTACAGACAATTATCACATTTCGACTCCAAAACTTAGGAGCTTGCTAAGACAACATAGGGATTTCAATAATTTACAGCACATAGCATCATTCTTTTTACACCTTCAAGAATTTCCATAAATGCATCTTGATCTAGATTGCCATAAAACATAGTTTTTACATTTAGTTATTCAAACATATTTAACATAGTTATTCAAACATTATTTAATAGTTTTATTTAATAGTTTATCAGTGCGTAGACAGAGTACAAACTCTTCTTTCCCCTCGCAATCAGTTGTTTCTTACTCAGCACATTGAATTTAAGAAGGGCTGAAAATGTCATCTAACTGATCTAATAATTGAGCCATTAATTCATATACGGATTTTTATATATAATCAGGAAAGTGATGTTTCAACGTGTAAAAGCCTTTTCGATGTATAATGTGTGTACAATAGTTTATTCTGTTGGTCTTTACTCTCACATAGCAGCTTTGGCTGAACTTATCCTAGCATGTTTCTTTGTTAATTTCTTGTATTTTTTTTAAAGAAATAATGTATATAAGACATTTTTCTTTCCTTCTTTGTTGCAGGAGCAAACAGAAATATGTATGTAGTTGTTGAGTAGTCGCTTTGGCGTAATGTTATGTTATATTTCTTATAAATTGCTAACTACACTAAGTTGGTAAATAATGTTTTGTTTATTTAAATAATCTTCTATAAGAGTTTATTTTAAGTGTAGTCGCTCATCATAGTGCCCTGAATGCATGTTTTTTAAAGCAAAGTTTATTCTTAATGTTATTCAGACAATAATATATTGGAATAGCTTCCTGCCCATTGAGCTTTTTATTGCAAAACAAACACACATATAAATATATACAAATGTTTCAATTTAAATGTTGTATATGTTCGAGCTTTTTGTTCAGAAAAATACTTGAATAGTAAGTAAGCACCCCATATTTATGTGTGTCCTCTTTATTTTATCTTATAGTTTTGCTTGTTGTATCACTTTGCCACCCGTGGATTGTTCTATGTTTACTTAGGTCTTCAGCTAGAACTTGAAATTGATGTACTTCTTTATGTTTTGATCCTTTTCAGCAGTATTTCCTTATACAAAAAAAAAACTTGGATTAAATAATGAAAATTGTGATTTTATTTTTTTAACTATGAATACGACAAACTCTTATTTGATATATTAAATAAATATGTATTTTATTACTTATATACAATGAAATAAATAATGGGATGTATATTAAGAGAGCTTAAACAATATCAATCAAAGTGAACGTTGCTGAGTTTAAAGATTTTAAATTATTTTCTTACAATCAACGAATTTAAGTTATAGGTTAAATGATATTTCCCGTATGTTTGCTTATATTTTATAATATATTGTATGCATCGATAATTTTTTAAGTGCCTGCAGTTGGTTCTTGTCGAATTTCCGATTTAAGCTTTACAAACTCTTTAGCGACTTCATCGTTATTGCGCTGTGAGAGTATGCGTAAAATGGTCCAACCAGTCTCATCCATATGGATTCTTCTCTGTAACGGCAGCCAACTGGAAAGAGAACCCTTCTCCAGAATATCTTTAAGCGGTATAACTGCCACACCAACTAAGCGATCATCTCTGGCAAAGCAATAATCTTTGACGCAAATATGCAATTCGAAAAAATCAAGTTGTTCCTCAGTACCAATAGTAAAATTAAATGATTCGTTGTATTTTGGCGACCAGTTATTGGACTTAGATTTTGTTGCGAATTTGCGTTTTTTATCCTGTAAATTTGGACCGATTAAATTTATTTCAACAAAAGGTCGAAACATTCCGGATGGTATATTCCATTTGAGATCATTAGCGGCCACAACTTTTACGTTCACTTTGAATTCACCGGTACCTGGATGGGAATACAAATCAATTTGTACTGATATTTCTCCAACGCTCTCTTCTTCCGGGTCAGGATCTAGAATTTGACATGATATAAACGTTTTAATTAAAGTGTCTGTCATTTGTGTATAAAGGCTCAATGCATAGCGCAGACTTTGTAATTCAGGAGACTTTTCGAGGAATGTTTTCTTTAGACCGTTTCCACCTGCATGGAAATACTGTTTAATTGTGTCTAAGGCCACGTCAAGTACTGCGCATTGTTTCGGTGAGAGATTTTTTTCAACTTCTTTTGAAATATCCATGACTCCGCTCAAAGCACTTTTTACGTCTTGTTTCCCAGCCATATGCGATTTGAACAGGCGGCCCATATCTTCAATTTTGGCATTAGAAGCGAGGTTTTTGGCATTATCTGTCAGATGTTTAAACATCATTGTTTTGTCCGTCATTGGCGGCAAAACAATTGTTTTTTCCAAAGTTCGCATCACAATTTTCCATAATTCCTTTAAGAGTCGTTTCAAAACTGTTTTTTCGCAAGACTGGGCATAAAGTGTTAATGATCCATCTAAAAGATCCATTAGTGGGCGAAGAACTTCATCGGCCTCCACAGCAACTACATTGCTATTGATTTTATCGCCTGTAGAATTTCCTTTTACAGCGAGTAACAAATCTCCAAGTTCTCGTAATGACTGCGTAATGCGAGGCTCCAAACTAATAGCGAACTGTGACGCCAATTCATCGAGAGCGGAGTTAAGGTTTTGTTGCAACTCCTTAAGAATGTTGGCAGCATCTTCTTCTAACTTATCACCACCCATAGATTCAAACATTTTTTCCAATTGTACACGAAGCTGCTGAATATTATTCATGAGAATACATGCAACTCTTTCATCCTTTGTGTGTTCGGGAAATTCTTTTTTAACAATATCAGCATAAGCAATTAACACCTTCACGATAGTTTTAGCGAAGCGTCTCATGTAACGTTTCCATATTTCAGGATCAGGACACTCGAGCTTGCTAACAACATCGAAGCATTGTGTTAGTTGTGTGAAAACGTCTACTACCGAATTTGAAAAAAGAGAATGCTCGCTACTTCTTTGGAATCCGTCTTTTTTATCGCGATTGAAGGCACCGTGAAGATATTCAAGCGACACATCGTCATTTTCATTAAGCCATTGCATAACAAATGGTTCAAACCAAGCTGGGTATTCTGGTACTGCACCTTTATGTGGAGGAACTTCTTTAACGTAGTTGCTATACAACCACTTTACGCGAAAATGCAAATTCATATAGGCAGAAGATTTGCATAGTCTATGCTGTTCATGTTCCTCCAGTGCATATTTCATATCAACGGCAAACAAACTCCACATGGTGGCAGCAGACAGTTGTCCTATATTAAGTTCTTGCGGAAATTGATTCAGAACGGCGCCGTAGCTATTCTTATCTTCATCAATCACAGAGACTATCAAGGCGATTAGTTTGTGCCAAAAATCAACACTATCCAATTTTGGTCCATGGTCGTCAGATTCACGCTTCGCCTCGTTTGGATCCACCTGAAATTCCCTGTTGTATAATACGTAGCAGTTTTCGAAAAGAAATTGATAAGTGGATCTAAGACAAGCTTTAACGCAATCTTTAACGACTGTGCTAGCTCGTGGTGGACTTGAAAGTTCCTGCACCTTCATTCGGAAAAATGTAATACTTGTTAACAAGTCGACAGTAGATTTCAGATCCATTAGTTTTTCAGGGCTGGAAGCTGGGAAGTTATTACGATACATGGACAAGTCAATTCGTAAAGAGTTATGCAACTGATCGAGAAGTTTGACGAATTTCTCTTTTCCAAAATTGCTTGCTGCAAAGCGGTCACTAGCAGATACGGCGGATGAAGCAGTCGTATGAGCGTAATATGCATTTATATTCGCCAAAAGCGTACTCATAACTGCTGGCACACCAGGACATAAATATTTGGCTGACAGGCAATGAAAGTGCGTCATAGCTTGGTATATATTTTCTATGCCGTAACGCATAGCAAACTCGTCTACAATTTCCTCAGGTATCTCATCAAAATACAATTTCCAAGCATCGTCACCCTTTTGCTGTGGCAATTTTACCATGCCATTATTTTGCTCACAGAGATAGTGGAACAGATTTTCATGTAGGCATGTGTATTGCACGTGGTAAGGGGCAACTTTTTCTTCGCCTTTTATTTCAACTGATATGTGCAGACGAATAGCTCCGGAAACTGCGGATTTGTCAGTGCGCTTTTCTAAATTATACCACACGTCCATCTCACCTGATAATGTACGGACTTCAATAATTGTTTGACCTAAGAAATCATCGGACTCCCTGGTAAGTTTTTGTCTTAATTTTGATTTAAGATCATTGTCTTCATCCCAAACACGGACTTTTATTCGATCAGATGAATTGTGACACTCAAAGTGGAATTTTTCATTCCAAACTGGGTTTAGTTCTTGTGGCATTGTACGTGTGCGTTTTTTAACCTTACTGACTTGAACGGTCACGTAGGGATCACTGGTACCGCTTTTATCCTTCGCTATTAAGCCTTGAGCACATATCACTGTAATGGCTATTTTGGCGGACCATTTACTGGTACCATCTAATACGCTTTGTTTCATTGCTTTCATATGACCTGTATGACTCTTTTCCTCTATATTGAAGACAGCACGTATTAGTTCAAATATCTCGGGTTTCTCTTCTTCGCGTTGTTTCATTCGCTCTTTCATGGCAGTTATTATAGAATGTGCCTTGTCTTCTGCTCCGTGTTTCGAACTTTTCTCTGCGGCTCTTTGTAGACAATCGGCATTTAAGAGATCTTTACATTTCTCATGACACTTAACCCCACATTCAGTGCAACGAACGCCCTGTCGAGCTATTCCCCATAACAACCCTTCACATTCATAACAGTATGTAGGAGAAGTTGCTGTCCAAAGAACAAAATTATGAGGAGTTGTTGAAGAAATGGGGTAGATTAACGCCTGTAAAGCCTTCTTGTATACATGCATTTTCAATTCTTCATCGTTTAAAGTGGCTCTTGGAACAGCTGAGGTAAGGCCAGCATTACGTTTTATAGCGGCCATTGTTATTTCAGACACGAGTGGTATAGATTTTCGGCGTGGTCTTATATCTGGCATACTATCAATATTACTGTAGAAGGGATTATCTCCGGGGTGCCCATTGATTCTCATTCCCACCGAACCAGGACCACTTCCGTTGTTAAGCTGCATTATAATTTTGTTATAAGCCCAGTGCCAACGTTTAATAGCCGTTATTTCAGGCTTTCTCTTCGATATTTGCATATGACCACTTACTACTTCTTCTGTCTCACCGCGCATTAATTTCTTTTTTCCTGACATATTCTTTGTGGTAATTTGCATGTCGTTCATTGGGAACTCATCATCTTCGTCATTCATAACGACATTACTAGATTTTCGACTTAGTGACTTCGAAGGGGAACCAACTGTATCATGCAACCCTAGTGAAGATAACTCATCTTCTTCATCCTCCTCCAATATTATACTATCTTGTTTCTTCATATGTTGATGTGCATACTGCTGATTAGACATAGTTGTTTTTGGTTCCAATGTATCACTTATGTGTGGCGGAAGTGGATTTGTTGTCAGTTGTTGATTATTGACAGAACTTTTAGCACTATCGTTTGAGCTTTCTTCATAATTGCCACTGCCATCACTAGGACATAAATCGTCAATGTAGTTCTCAGTATTTTCGTTTGGCTGATGATATTCAGGTTCCTCTGGCACATGTGGTAAAGATTTTCTTTTAGTTGGAGCTATTTTATGTGATTCTTGGTTTTCCGAAATTTCCATTGATTTATATTCATCATCTGCCTCAAAATAATCATCTTGGTAATCATAACCTCCATTTGCGTGTTCATAATAAGCATTTGTAGACACATGTATTGTCGACGATTGTGCTGAGTGCTGGACATCCATATAGTAATCATCCTGTCCATTATCGATGTCGTAACTCGGCGTACGCTTTAACTGAAGAGATTTGCTGGTAATAACTTCTTCGCTGTCATCGTAAATCTCTGCAGGTTGTTTTATTAAAACTCCCGATTTACCATTGATGATGGGCAGTTTTTTGCCAGTGGATCCAGCTGTTGGCACAGTCGGCAATAGTTTAACTTGCTGATTAATTGGTTTCGGGGGCTGATTACCGTTTGCATATTGAATATTGTCGCCATCGCAAATATTCATTTCTTGTTGCGATGTAATTTCTTGTTGGGTGGTATAACCATTAACATAATTATTTTCATTGAGATTTGTTGCTGATGAAGATGAATATGTTGTTGTAGAAGATGAATATATTTGGCTTGGTTGTGATTGTTGCTTAATATCTCTCGAGTTTGATGATGTTACATTTACTTCTTGTGCAGTTGGAGCACCTGTTGACTGTAAATTCTTTTGGACCTTTGTACTAGCTATAGTTGCACCCTGGTTGAGCACTTGAGTTGCTGTCTGCATTGCTACTGCAGCTTTTCCAAAAAGAGAACCAAACATTCCGCCGCCTCCACCACTTGATTTGGTAGTTGTAGTAGTTGGAGCGGGTTTTGATACATGTGAAGTAATGCTTGTCAGAGATGGGAGAATTGAACTACTCGAACTTTTAACGCTGGCACTGGATGTCATACTGCTGGCTATATTCTCCGATTTAAGCGTCGATGAACTAGTAACGAATTTAGATTCGTTACCAAAACTTCCCGGTGCAGTAACATAATCGTACTCATTATATCCATTTCCTCCAGTACAATGAGTACTGTCCGCAAATGTTGAATATTCACTACTGTATGCATTGTCAACTGAATTCGTCATGTTTATCTCATCGTGAACGTAATCATAACTATTTGTCACCTGACAATATTCATTATCTTGACTGGTTATATGTGGTTCGTCATATGATGAAACTATATCCCTAGTAACAGGCGTATTCATAGTCGAAATGACATTAAATGCATTTGCTTCTTCCGTATAATTATTGTTTAAGATGAAGCCATTGGTAACGTTATTATTGTAGATTTCCTCATTACATGTGGTCTCGGTTATAAAGGATGCTGTATTGTAATTCTCTTTTGTAATAAGATGATCGTAAGAATCAACCTGTAAAGATTTGGAAGATATATCACTTTGCATAGTGATAGATGATGATACGGTATTGCTATTAGTAGATTGGGTTGATGTTGTAGGGGAGGCGGTCGATTTTGTTGCTGCTGCTAGTAAACTGCCAACATTAGGCACCAGTTTGGAAGCTAATCCAAAACCGAAGCCCTTCTTTGAAGAAGTAGGCTGCTGCGAATCGTTGTTACTGCCGGCATCTGCCGCCAGTACGTTATCTAAACCCCCCTTCAAGCTTTGTGATAGACCACCAAGCATACTGGAAGCTTTACTAACTGCCGAAGCAGTAGTAGCATTCGATGTTACAGAATTCAAAGTCGGCGGTTTATAATAGCCACTAAGAGCTGATTCACTGTTACCAATAGAACTCGTACTGTAAAGAGATTTTTTGGTATCTTCTGCGTCATTTGTTGATGTTAGACCAGCATTAGATGAAAATGAAGCCACTTGGGAGCTCTCTACATTAAAACAACTAGTGGTAGCCGTGGTGGAAACGATGATATTACTGTTGGTATTTGTGGTGGTTAGTCCCGCTTTGGATTCACTGATTGAGCTAGCAGTAGATGATGTATCCACTATCAATGATGTAAGATCGACATTAAAACTATTATAGAAACTGTCGTCAAAATCGACCTTTGGTAGCAACGTATCTGTAGAGTATGAAAAGGTAGATGATGTAGAATAGGCATCGTTGTGTTCCGATATTGTTACTGATGTTGCAGTTGTTAATGTTTCAGTTGCCGGAGGAACATCGTTCTCAATTTTTGTATATTCTGGAGACATTGCGGTCTCTATAAACATCGTCTTTTTATCCTCTGAATTTGCCAAGGTAAATGTGCTAAAATAATCCTCAACGTCGTTTTTATTAACTAAATCTTTCTCAGCAATATTTACATCGACAGTCGCAATGGTTTCGGTATCAGTTATTTTATATGTGTTGAAGTAATCATTTGTATCACTTAAGGACGACGTAAACAGAAAATCTGTTATATAAGCGGGTAATTCTTTTGTGTCCGTTATTGTTGAATCAAATGATATAGCTGGAGAGATTGTAGAAATTTTCAAGCTCTCCGTTTCCGCTTTAGTGGATATGGTTCCCGTATTGGGCAATGTGGTGATGGAGTGGGAGGATGTCGGAGGGAAAGTTGGTACATCGGCAGGTGTTTTAACTAAATCATCTTGATTCGACGAAGAGGTTTTCGTCTCTTCGTCATTGCTATCGGATTTCGCCAAAAAATTGGAACTTTTGAGTGGCGAATAAGTTATTGACAATGGCGAGTCCAAATATAGTGGCTTTGTATAGTCAGCTGTTGCGGTGACTGCAGTTGTGGTCAAACTATACTCCTTCGTCGAATTTAAATACTCTTCAAAATTGTCGCTGTAAAGCTTTAAATATGAAGGTGGCTCCCAAGGGCGTGCTTCTAATATGCTAGCAATATTGGTTTTTGTAGAATTAAAATAATCTGAAGATGGCAACGCATTACATTTAATGGATGATGATACAGTTGTCGTTGTAAGGCTTGACAATGTGGTGGACGAACACGTGTAAGAGGCATGGTCTACGACGCTACAACTAGGACTATCACCTTGAAATGCTTTGAAACTACTAGACCTAGCTGAACTGAATTTTGTTTGATCATCAACGTTTTTGCTACCATATCCATTTTTCACATGTTCTGTATCATTTACTACTGGAGTTGATGTTATATCCGGAAACATAATGGTTGATGATGGCAATGTGGAATATTCTACATGATCTTCTTTATGATATGAGCTAGGAACAGAATGAGAAATTTCTGCTGATTTACTGTTACCAGCGCTGCTAGTGTATATGAAATCGATCGGATCCACGTATTTGGGAGTGGATATTGTCAACGATTCAGTGAAAACCTCATCAAAAGTGGAATTCGATTTGTTTATATATTCCAACCCGTCTTCTGTTGATGAATATTTAGTGCGTGATGGCAAATCTATGGCTGATATTGTACTGACTGATGTATTTGATGTTAATGGCAATAAATTATCTGAATCAAATTTATATGATGTTTCGGGAAAGATGGAAGTCTCTGGCAACATTGCTGACGTTCTTTCAGGTAGATCCTTGCGAAGGTGATCCATGGACGGTGATGTGGGCACTAAAACTGAATCCTCTACAAAATCGTCAGATAGTCCCTCATCCACATGTTCGCTGTCATATGTTGGTCTTAATTCGTCTGCGAATTTATCGTAGTAGGTGCTGCCCATATCATTGTCATAAAAATTGTTATTTTGATTAAAGTTATTATCGTAATTACCCCTATAGTTGGTGTTAAACACAAGGCGCTTACTATTACTTTCAATATTATCGACTGAAGTGTTGTTTGTTGACAGCGCTATTTGGTCTGACGTTGAAATTTTGTTTAAGTATGAGGGTGATGAAACATCACTCTGGGTGAAAGGCAAATATGATGCTGATTTTGATCCATTTGAGCTACTAATCAATGAATTGTCTTTCTTTGAATCAAATATAGTTGGGGTGTTTGACAGTAGACTAATTGCTGGCGATTTCTGCATTATTGTGGGGGACTGAGGCAATTGTTTAATTTTACTCTTGCTTGATGATTGCGGTGTACTGGGCAATTTCTTTGGCAATTTTCCATAAGATGAGAAAGTTGGTTCAAATACTGATGTTCCTGTTGTCGATATGTCGCTTATATACTTTATATTGTCGGACGACACGATCGGGGATGATGAGGACAATAAAAGCGTTGTAGGAGCAGCTATGGGTAAAGAAGATAAGCCGTCTGCTATACTGGATTTTACGGTTGTATAGGAACGAGTTTTTATATCATTAATAGTATCAGGGTTACTATTGACGGTGTATCCACTATCGGAATACGAATACGAGACATCGAATGAGTTAGGATGCTCTGATGTTGGCAATACGTAATCTGCGGTACCTGCGTATGTTGCAGGCGCGGTTGATTTCGTTGAATGTTCAGATTTTTTCAAAAGATGTTGTGGAATACGTGTCTCGCCGCTAGCTATAACCGATGCAGTAGTCATCGCTAATATAATTGATTGCCGACGTTTTTGTAAATCCTGTAGTTTCTGTTCATATGCTAGTGTTGTCGCAGTTGATATTGAATCACTGTATGATGGTAATTTATTACTATCGGTATTGAACCCATAATCCCCATAGCTCATTGTCGACTGCATTTGCATCGCAGTATGTGGACGTGGTTCCATCATGTAGTGATCGTAGTACGTACTCGAATCGCAGTAATCCGTTGCTCTACTACTCGAACGACTTCGTGCAACATCACTTGTATAATACTTGTTATATGGCATGTTGAGTGTTGTTGTTGATAGCGTACCCATAGCGTCTTGAAGACTAGAGTGATTTTTATATAAAGACGTTGCTGCTGTCGCTGAGGTAGTCATAGGCGTCATGCAGGAATTTTCTTCAAAGTAGGGATGTATACTGGCATTGCTTTCCCTTGAGTGGCTATAGTTCATGTCGTACCACATTCTAAAGCTTGGTAAATATCCTTAGCTATGCAACAATCTTAGATGTTGATTTTTCCTACAATCTGTTGTATCTTCAACTTCTGATGCATTAAAAGCTGCTGCAGATACTAATAATTCGCTAAAATGTATGAAAATACACAATTAAAAAATAAATATAAATTTTAACTATAAAAAACTTAAATCACAATTTTGGTTAATTTTAATTTTTAAAAAGCATTCATATAATTGGTTTATGTTGTCCGACCTAGATTTCAAACTTACCAATTTATTACTTTATTTTCTGGCATATTCTTTCCAAAGGAATAAAATGGATAAGCATTTAATTTTCTAGTTCTTAAGGTTGAATGAAATTGAAAAAGAGAGTGTCTATAACATAAGAAATTTTGTTATGCGACTAAAACCAATTGGTAATAAATTAATTTGTGATGGTATATATAATGTTTGCAGAATATGAAAATGAGTATGTAATAATTAAGAACAATGAAAATAGTTTAAATTTCCAAAATCAAATATTTTAACCTGTGATGCATCATTTTTAAGCAGGGCAAAGCAAAGCTTACTCCCATGGGATATATGTGTGTTCACCAACACAATTGTTAAAAAATAGTTTTGAATTTTTATTCAAAATAGCTTTTTTTGGTGTTTTTAGTTTTTTTCGCGGAGTCGAAGATAAGCGTGTTATCGGATATTATTATGAATACAACAAGGTAAGTAATATTGAAGACATAAATATAAGTATCTAAATTTAAAAATTATTTTCGTAATTGTGAAAATTGGTACAGTCATTTATATTTTTTGATTATATTTTCCATCTAACAGAATTCATATACTAATATACTAATTTACATGATCAGAATGAGAATTAATTTCCATTAGAGTTTTAATATATTTATGGACCTAGATGACTAGAAATTTTATCATGCAACATGCGCATGTATGACTTTTGTTGAAATTAACGACATTTTGAATTTTTTACTGAAATTTTTGAAAATATCACCTTATATGTATATAATCTAATCTCTTCCTAAAAGAATTATCGTTGAATTATTTGTGCAAAGATATATAGAAGCAATTTTCCTCCAAAATATAATTTTAAGAGACGAATTCTGATTAAAAACTGACGTAAAATTAAACAACAACAACAACATCCCAGTTTCGGCCAGAGGCTGCCAATCCAGTATGTACATGTTTGTGTTTGTTTATTTTTCTGCATTGGGAGCAGCATATCCCGGAAAGCTTGCTCCGACCAATAAAAGGTCCGTGCCGGGATTGAGGAAAACACGGACTTCGGTTCTGCTCGGTTTGTCAGAACGTCATCCATCATAGATCTGTTTCGGTGCGATGTAATGGACGAAGAGAATGGGTGCACTTCAAGAACTGTTCCGGACTAAGGCGTTTGCGAGACTACAGCGAAAGGGATTATGTTGCAACGTGCTGCAGTAGCGTAGTCCCCAGCGAGTCCACTTCTTCGTCGTCCTCATCAGATTCGTCGTCGGAGTATGGAACTCCACCGCAGTCTCCAGAACAGCAACCAACACCGTATCGTATCTTTCTTGCAATTCAATTGCAACGGACTCCGAGGCAAAATTGATGAGATAGTGGATTTATGAATCGGAATGAAAATTGAAATGTTATAACGTACTAAGGAACGATCGCACCAGAAGTGGAGGTGGGGGATTAGCGTTCTTGTTCACCATTCTGTTCAGTACAGACCTATATCTGTTGAGCTAGTCTCTAGTGACCTTTACATGAAATGTATAGGGGTAGCAGTCAAGTGTGGAACTGCCGAGGTAGAGGCGCTTAATGCGTATACTCCGCCGATTAATAGTTGTGAACCGCGTAATTTGCCAGATATTAGCCCATTGTTAGTAGACAATAACCGTCTGGTACTAGGATATTTTAATGCCCACCATGAGTTGTGGCATTCCGTCCTAGGTAAAGACCAGAGGGGATCAGCGCTTGCAGAGCAGATTGACTGCTCCACATTCTGCACGGTTAACGAGGATACCCCACCCGAATAAGAGGAGAGTGTCACAGTACGCCAGACTTAACCATAGTTTCACCCGGTCTGATAAATTACGTGACTTGACAACCCGTTATTTCTCTTGGCTCAGACCATCTCCCGATAATCGTCTCCATAAGAAGGTCGCCCGATTTCATAACATCTGAACGCCGCACCTTCCCTAACCATGGGAAAGCTCACTGGACAGAGTTCAGAGAATTCACCAACCGCCGCTTCAGAGAACTGTCCAACCCTTCTGTTGTTCGGGTAGAAGAAAGGATTTTCAGAAACATCATCAAAGCTGCAGCCGCTTGCTATATACCTGCTAGTCGAATACCCGAGATAAGACCAAACTTCTCAGCAGAGGCACGGGATTAGCAAATGAGCGTGATGATCTCCGTCGTACCAACCCTACTGATATTAGAATCAATGATTTGACAGTGGAAGTCAACCGGTTGGTACAGGAGCATAAGAGGAAAAAGTGGAACCGATATGAGTAAGCTGTGAGTAAAATTTAAGTCGCTCTCGAACCCTGGAAAAAGGATGATAGGACCTTAGTCACTTTTAACCACGTAAGGGTGACTGATCCGAAGTGCTCTGAGTATTATAACCGACAAAGTGTCGAGCATGCCGAGAGCGACAGGGCGAAGCGGAGAGTACTACGTCGTATTAGATGTCTTTCCGCCGATTAGGAACCACCACAGTTTAAGATGGATGATGTTGCAAATGTCATCCAGAACGCTAAGCCATCCAAAGTATTGGGCCCAGACGAAATCTCAATGGTAATGCCGAAACAGCTGGATACGCCCGGAGTCGAGTACCTAACGAAAATTCTCACATAGTGCCCGAAGCCTGGAAAATGGGTAGGGTGGTCCCGCTACAGAATCCAGGCAAGGATGCCAGTAATGGCGAATCGTACAGGCCGATTTTGCTTTTGTCGCCTGTAGCTAAGACTCTTGAGGCTTTGCTTCTCCCCAGCATTAGAGGAAGCTATCCAGTTGCCAAATATCAGCACGGATTCCGTCCACACGCCATTTTCACACATCTGGCTGAACCAGAACAAGTCGTGTGACAGAACAGTGTTGGTAGACATATCAAAGGCATTTGGTCAATCATGCCATACTGTTTGAGGACGTGCAGAGAACCACCCTCCGGCCAAGTTTGAAACGTTGGATAATCAACTATACGTGTTGACGACAGTTGTACGTGGAATTCCGGAAAAAGAAGTACAAGGCCCGTAGAGTGAAACAAGGAGTTCCCCAAGGTGGGGGATATCTCCGGAACTGTTTAACCTATATCTTTCCGGAGTTCCTCGCCCTCCAGACGGCATAGAGATCGTAACGTATGCGGATGTTTGTACGATCATGGCGTCGGTCCCAGTGGTCATATGTGACCACATGCCGCATGCCACGAAATCAACGGCACACTCTTTACCATATGGTCTGCGGAGATGAGCTGAATGTGCAGGTTGAGGGGAATTTAATACCGTACCTGCTTGGGTGTTACCGTGAGAGTCATCCCAACCATCATATGATGGATACAACTCCCCCACCCAGGCGTGTCAGGAAGGACATACACGATCTAGAAAGGGAGGTCCAACGCTATAAGAGAGAACAAGAATTGACCAAGATGTTCGTGACGAATCTATGAATGTTACCCAACTTCAACATTGACAATTGAACAATTTCTTTTTTTGTGTATTAAAAATATAAATAAATAATACTAAAAATGTGTGTGTTTTAAATGGAAAATACAAAAGTTGGCGAATTGTAAAAATGATCAATTTTTACAACGCTAATATAATTGTTGGTAGATTTTAAGATATGGACCTGGCGTATTTGGCAATAGGGACGTACAAAACATTTTTCCATAGTGGGCAAGTTGAATGTTTGTGTATGCCACGTCGAATTTTGGTTAACGCTGTTCAAGCCCATGCAACCACAAAATAATTTTGAAATGTTCCGCCTGGCCTTGATTTAATACGATTTTTTATTATCACAACTTTTATACAGAATACCTGATCTTAATGTCCTGTTTATTTTGTGTAATTAATTTAATTTAACTTCATTTTTGATATTTTGAGTTTTGCTGTATTTGAATTGTTTCAGTTTTTGTCACACATATCAATGACAGAAATTCCCAAAGGCGTAACCCACAAAATTCGTTTCTGATAGAATCTAATACATGATGCTTACATACACATTCTTGCAAAATTTCAAGCTTTTATGACTTAAAATTGCGATCCTATTATAGAAATGCCACAAGACGTAACAGCATTCTGTAACAGGAAACACAAAAGACGTAACTTACAAAACTTGAAAGTTAAGCAAAATTACCCCATTAATCGCATGCATAAAGTCCAGACAATCTCTTCATAGCTATTTATTTTGTAATTGTAAATTAATTGCGACGGTATTGAAGTCGGATTATTTCATTTAATTTGTCGAAAACAGTCATGCTCAAAAGTACAGTTCGTCGACAGTTTATCGATCAAAAAGTTGATAAAATTTCTTTTATTGTTGAAGCTACTGTGAGTCAAGATGCGCTGCAGGTCTATTTCGTAAAATTTATCGATTAAAAAGTTGTTAAAATTTCTTTTGTTATTGAAGCAACTATGAGTCAAGTTGATAAAAAAGTTACAGAATTGGCCTGCAGGACAATAAAAGAAGATACATGTGATCTTAATGAGGAGTACAGACCTGAAATTACAACTCAAATATTGAAGGGGTCAGCGGAACCTAACCTGTGTCAACTAACTCCACTAGATATATATGTATTTGGATCGCTCCAGGGGTGGAGGTGGAGGATTAGCATTCCTATTGCACCGCTCTGTCCAGTACAGACCTATCTCGCCTGAGCTTGACTTTAGCGACCCATACATGGAATGTATGGGGTAGCGGTAAAGTGTGGAACCGCCGAGGTAGAGGTGCTCAACGTGTACATTCCGCCGTTAAATACCCGTCTGGTGCTAGGGGATTTCAATGTCCATCATGAATTATGGCATTCCGTCCTAGGTAATGACCAGAGAGGCATGGCGTTGGTTGAGCAAATTGATAGCTCCACGTTTTGTACAGTGAATGGGGACGCGCCCACCAGAGTAAGGGGAGACTGCCACA